AATAAATTCAGTTTTTCTTCATTACCTATATTTTTTTGTAGTTTTCACGGAGATATAGGTTAACACGTTATTATGTATTTTCTTCCAACGGGAATTTCTTTATTCACAACCCACCCAACTCAACACACAAGTGTAAGGATTCTCACAGCCGCCAAATATTGAAGCTACAAGGATGTACGAAAGTTGACACTGATATTATGAATGATGCATATTCAAAGTTCATAATTTTTTTCAAAATCAAAAATACTTTTGACTAGAACTCACCCTACTCTATGCTCCTTATGTTGAGGTACAAGGACTCTCATAGCCAACAAATGAACGAATAAAAATAGCATCGAGTACGAAAGTATAGATGACGTATATTCAAAGCCCATTTGTCCAGAATCGCGTGAATAGAAAAAACGCCGAGACACGCCAAAAGATTCGACAAGGGGGACCACTTTTTAACCAAAATCTACTTCACCCCCTTTCACCCTCTGCCCCCCAGGGTCATGCCCTTTAGAATTTTAAATGACAAGGGGTATCGAGTAATAGCTTGTTTGAAAGGTCTTTCCGACGTTTGATTTTTTTAAATCGGTTGATTCGTTTTCAAAAAAATTAAAAAAATCTTTATCTTAATTTGTTAAGATAGAAAACAAAATTACACCAAAATATCACTTTTTACTTCAATATGAGTTCAAAATGTTGCCTGTTATTGGGCACATAATTATGTAGGCAATGTTCAAATTCCTGAGGGACATTTTCAAAAACATGTGGGATATCATGACAGTTTTCGATGATGCGTTGACGGAGACTTTCATGTTGGCCCCATAGAAAAAAGTCTAATGGCGTCAAATCAGGAGATCTAGCAGGCCATTCTATAGGCCCTCTTCGCCCTATCCACTCGTCGTCTAGCCATTGCCGAACCAGAACATAGTGAGAAGGAGCGCCGTCTTGCTGGAAATATATTTCAGCCTCATCAAGTATAGGGTTTCCATCCTCTTCGATTTGGTTTTCAATGGTTTCGGTGATAAGCGGATTGATGGTATTTTCCAACATATCAAAATAAATGTCTCCATTCAAATTTCCAGTAATAAACAATGTTCCAATCACTTTGTTTCCTAAAATGCCTGCCCATACATTAATTTTTTGGGGGTACTGGGTATGTCCTTCTACAAAAGCATGAGGATTTTCATTGCTCCAATACCTGCAGTTATGCTTATTAACAAATCCATTTAGATAAAATGTGCATTCATCAGTGAAGCAGATATTCTTTACAATGATGGTATTATCATTAATCGCTGCAGTCATTTGTTCACAAAACTCAACTCGCGTATCGAAATCATCTTCGGTTAACTCTTGCAATATTTTCATTTTGAATGGATGAAATCTATGGAGTTTAGTAACTGTGTGTACAGAGCCTAATGAAATATCAGTCGCAGCAACAATTTTGCGCAATGCAGTATTAGGCCTTATTCCAAAATGATCCAAAAATTCAACTTGAGTAAATTTAGTAACAAGGACCAAAACATACCTATGCGAAGTTATCTTCCCCCGATGTCTGTCACTCTTTCGGCTAGTGTGTAAACCATTTTGGAAATAAAATCTGAATCAATAAATTAATTTTCACTATCCCAAGTTTGTCACAAAGGTAACTGACAGCAAATTAAATTTTTTCTTTCCCTTAGCAACAAATAATTAAACAGGTATAACAATAAATAAAGTTCGCCCAGGATACCTGTGTTGATGAAAAAAATGCGGAACAAATTCGGGTTGTTATTTTTCTGGTGCCACGCCTAATCTTCCGAATTGCTGTTTCTGTTTATGTTGGTAGTTTTCATTTTACAGTATTCGGCTAACCCCAATGAACAAAATTTTGAGCACTTATTGGAATAAAAAGTGATATTTTCGTGTCTCTTTGTTTTCTATCTGAACAAAATTATGATAAATGAAGATTTTTCTAATTTTCTTGAAACCGAATCGACCGATTTCAAAAAATCAGATGTCAAAATAAAGGACTTTGAAAGACCTTTCAAACAAGCTATTACTTGATACCCCTTGTCATTTAAAATTTCTAAGGGGATGGGAATTTGGTTAAAAAGTTGTTCCCCTTGACAAATCTTTTGACGATTCTCGGTGTTTTTTATTCTATTCAGTGGTTTTCGATAAATCCGTGGTGGGAAGTTTTCAAATAAACATCCTGTATATACCGCATAATTTTACTACAATTTTGTATAAGTCGTTTTGTGGTACCTCTTTCCCGTTTAGATAAATATAATACAGTTGGCCTCCGGTAATCCGACAAACATTATGCAGGGCAGTGTCGGACTATCGAATTTTTCGGATTATAGAGCACTGCCTAAGACCCCCTATAGTCCGGAATTTTTTAAAACAGAGTACCTTGTAATCCGACAAATTACATATCCAATGATAAGATTATATATGTTATGTATATGTATGTACTTTGAAGTACAAATCATACATAGTTTATGTATGTCGAATTTAGTAAATTAAATAACAATAGAGAGCTTACGTTTTATTATAAAATTAAGCATAAATGCACATACATATGTACTAAAATAATCAAGAATTATTAATCAAAATCATTAATGAATTTATCAAATTATGAAGCTTGGAAATATTTATCAATTTTTTTTAAGGTTGTTATAACGCGAGCTCAGAGCTTTGTTCCTCAGTCTTCTCAAAAGTAAAAGTTCGTTGTAGGATGTACCATTCTCTTCAGCTCATTCTAAACCTAGCTCAAAGGCGTTAATTGCGTCTTGTGCTGTGACTTGTGGAGCAGTTGCAATCACGTCGTCGTTATTGTCCTGATTGTTTGTTGTATAATTAGAAATCTCTTTTATAATCCCTTCGTCAGACATTTCATGAAAAACATTACATTTTCCTCTTTATCCATTCCACGGCACCACATTTCCAAATCTTCCGGACTTATCTGTGTTTCAGTAGCGACTTGTTCTATAACTTCCGAAGTTACACTGATTTATGGAACGTTGCTAGGGGTGGTGACTATATCTGGCCATAACTTTTTCCAAGACGATTTAATAGTTGATGACGGGAACGCATTCCACGACTGACAAAGAGCAAAAGTCTTTCATATTAAATTCTTTTAAAGTTTTTTCTATTGGTTGGTCCTTTGATACGGCTCTCAGAAGTAGGTTTTTCTTATAGTCTTGCTTGACAAACTGAATGATATTCTGGTCCATTGATTGAATCAGTGCAGTGCAATTTGGCGGAAGAAACATCGCAGTGATGCATTTATCCTCAGTTGTTAGTTCTTCTTCAGACGGATGACCGGGAGCGTTATCAAGAAGCAACAACGCTTTTTGAGGAAAATTATGATCTTTTAACCATTTTCTAACTTCAGGTACGAAGCATTCATCACACCACTTTTTGAAAAGGTCTTTTGTCATCCATGCACTTTTTTGTCCGTAATAGGGCACAGGTAAATCAATGTTTTTGAATGCCCGTGGTTTATTAGATTTCCCAATGACCATCATCTTAAGCGGGTGTGTGTCCGCAGCGTTAGCACATGGTAGTATGGTTACACGCTCTTTACTTACTTTTCGTCCAGGTACGGATTTGTCGTTACAAGAAATGAAAGTTTTGTTAGGCATCACACGCTAAAAAAGCCCTGATTCGTCTGCATTGTACACCTGTGACGGGTCAAGATTTAAATCCTCCACCTTTTGCAAAAATCTTAATTTAAAGGGCTCTATGCAGGTGGTATCGTTAGAAAGTTTCTCTCCTGTAAGTCATTAAACGTATGCCATGAGGACTTTTACGACGTTCTAGCCATCCTTTGCTGGCCACAAAATCATCTTTTTTTGTTATTTCCTTATAAAAAAACTTAGCTTTCATGGCCAACATGGGTCCTGAAATTGGTGCATTATTATTTCTTTCCTGAAGAAACCACATGTACAAAGCTTCTTCCACTTCTGGATGTTCAGCTTTCTTGAGTGTCTGTCTCTTGCCTGGCCCGCAGTCAGTAGTTGACCCGAACTTCTTGATCTTCTCGTGGTTTCTTTTAATGTCATAAATTGTAGATCGGCCTACGCATTCAGTTGCTAAACTACTGAAAGTTTCATTGCGATTTAAGCGGTCTAAAATATCACATTTTTCTTTAATTGTCAATGTTTTGTGCTTTAGCTACTGAGTTTGTGATGACATTACTAGGTACTATACTTAAAATACACAATGAATAAATAGTAAACAATGAACGCACGCTAGGCCGTACCGCTATCACCAGTAGTCAAATTCAAACTAAGTAAAACAATGCTTACGCGTCGAGCATGATAGCGGTGGCGCGTACAAGTTGTAACCTGTTCAAACCTGCGTGATCTACATTAGCGAAGATTGTCAAATACGTATCTATGTAATACATATTCAAAGACATGTCGGATTACAGGGGGCCCGGATTAGACAGGGGCCGGATTATCGGGGGTCCACTGTATATATAAGTTCCCCCTCCAAGGAGATATAAGGAGTTTTGATATATATGTATATTATTCATAATTGTATATTTAAGGTGTGTACCAATTTTCAGCTATGTGGAAAGTTTTGCAAACTTGCAATATTGTTTGCTGTATTTTGTCTGTGCTATTACTGGCGTAAAATATTTTGTGGAGGGCTCAGTTTCCTTTTAAACGTCGAAACCTGACTTTAGACGTCTCCATTAACTTCTGAGTTGAAACAATTTCAGTGAAATACAGTACATCTTTTGTAGTTTTTATTGAAATAAATATATTTACTGTACAACTAATTTTTCTCTTAATCAGTAACAGTGCGTTAGTGTGTTTCGAAACAAAATAAACAAATAGAAAAATGATATCAAATCATCACTTTTGGCCATCCATATATTTATTGCCATCATGAAAATGTTCTTACAATACTTCTGTAGTATATAACATTGAAATTGAGTTAAATGATTTTGTAATTAACTACTCGAATTTTGGTGAGTCACTATAATTTGTTATTATGTAACTGTGACATAACGTTTCACTTTAAGCACAGATATAAAGTTTCTTTGGATTGCTACTTGTAGAACTTGTGATAGATATCGCAATATAATTGTGTACGCTTTCAAGAAGAAGTATGTTACTACTAATGTTACATAAGTAGTTCAAACATAAAAGCCGAGTACCCACCCCCCGACCAAAGCATACACGACGGGACGAGCAGTACCAAGACAGTGTTGCCATTCACATCGATTTACACTTCGTATGTTACTTGAGTGGTACAGTACTAGTAGTAACATACTTAATGAAAAATGGGACTAGCCCATACATTGTAAGTTTCATTTTCTTCGTTTATAATTGATTTATGTACGGGTCAGTGTACATTGTGATGTCTACCTGTAGGCTACTTTATCTCTTCATACATTAAATTAGAAAATTTCCGTTTCGAAACACATCGTGCTCTTAAACTTAAGAATATCAGAAGATGAGAGACATTTCAGTACTTATTTTGCTAACAGTTCTACAATGTATGATAAGTATACGCCAGGATAGTAGAGACGGAAGGTTTTTTTTGTCATTTTTTGTCGTTTAGGAACTGTGAAGTCCGGCTGTTGAGAGCAATATATAATATATTTTTATGATTATGTTGAACGGAACTTAGGCCTAAGAACGTATTTACAACATAATTCTTTTGGATCACCTGCGTCAGAATTTCTTACGAGTCGAATATAAAGAATTAAATTTCTGAGTAGACTGAGATCTCATGGAGTATCTACTGAACACTTCGACTTTCAAGCTAAAAAATTTGAACTCTTCGTAAATGTATGATCTGAAAAATGTTCAGTTTTAAGGAAGAACATATACAAACTGCAATTATCATCAGTCTTTTCATTTTGTGCATGTGCAAATAGTTCGGTTAGTTGTAATTAGGTAATTAAGATAAATTATTAACAAAAAATATATGATGTGGTTGATATTGATACCTGAAAATATAAATTTGGCATTTCGTTCAAGATATTCCACAGGACACCATTGTCTGGCCACTAATTCAAATCACACATCTTTCGATTAGTATTTATTGTTTGAATTAGCGGTCAGATAATGAGATCCTATCGACATGAAAACCACATGATAACTTTTAGGTGTTACATTGCGGTACTTCATCTTCTATAACATTTTTATCTAGCGCTTTACATGAACTCCTATGCTTCGGAATATTCAGTAGCACATGAAAAGGTGAAAACAAAAACTTTCGAGATTCAGATCATATTGTTTCAAATAGTTGACCGTTGACAAAATTCTGACATAATGCTAATAATTCAGAAATCCAACCTAAGACACTTGGTGTATAAAGTTATACGGTTCATGCGATTTTGAAAACGCTGCCATACTGTGATAGCCTTTTACGAAATACCAGTTTGTTCAAAAAAATTGAAAATTTTCCATTGTAAGGTACAGCTTAGAGCTTTAAAATGTTTCCTCTAAATTACATGTAGCGTATAAAGATTCATACAGGTTGGCAGACTAACAAAAAAATTCTCTTTGCATCTACTATTCTCCATTTTGAAGAGAAAATCAAACTTTGATGTGCTTGGCATATTAAAAAAATCCATATTGTGAGCTTGTCGCATAGCTTTTTCGTCATTGTAAGAAGAGGTGACACATGCCGTCCAATAAAAACAAGGTTTTTCAATTTAGAAAGTCCTTAGGTTGGACCTCGTGATTTTAGTTATATACATACCTCCACGAAATATAATGTGCTCATGAAAACAGGGCTTGCTGTTATGCTATACATACATAAATAGTAATGCTTACTTTCCAGTCCTACAAGTCTTTTCTAATTTTCTATTAATGACAATATAGTGTTGGTTATAACAGCGATATTTTAAAATGAAGTACGAATATAGTCAAAAGATTGATTTTGGATACAGAGTTAGCACCCATAATAAATTAGCTTTAATAATTATTTCTCTATATGAGCAATTAATAGGATGCGATTCAGTATTTCTGAAAGGTTAGTAATTTAATTCTCAAATATATTTAAGTATACGTTTAGTGATATGACGGGACAAATAAATTAAATGCTTCCATTGCTTTTGACATAAAGCCACATAGATTTATAAGAGTACAAACTACAAGCGATGTTTCCAGAATAATGTTATAGAAAGATCACATCAAATTTTCTTTGCTAAGTAATGCTCTGAATAATTACAAATTAATATCTCCCCAGAGACACCTTCCTTCAGAGATTCTTTTACGATATTTATAATCCTCACAATGAATTATTTAGACCCATTGATGCTTTCAAGCTCAAGATAAAATACTTTTGATGATAAAGTTCATTTTGCTATGTGCTGACGACCAAGTCTCTCTTGTTTTCGTAATTTTCTATTCAGAGAAAAAAGTAGTCAAGGCTGCTAAGGCAGAAAGTACGCTCAGATAGAGCAATCAAGTTCCAACAAACGTGAGTATTGAAGTATTGAAATGAAGGGTGGGTCATTTAAAATTTTAAATTTAAATCAACTATAAAAAGCAAAGTGATGCATATTTCTACTTTCAAATTTCTGGTTTTTAATTTTCTAACTAAGAAATTATCATTCAAAGACTTGTACGACTGCATAATATGTATCCCCAATATTGTTTTTATATACTGTTTGGTTGGTATGCTGCCTTGATGGAGGGGGTACTGTAGTGGAGTATGGAGATATTGGAGGTGTTGCTAAGTTTATTCAGGTTTTCTCCTTAGGCGTCTAGATCGTCATCAGTGTCGCTGCGGCGTTTCCTTCCAGGACCACCTGCGAAATTCGCCGCTGCTAGGCCCATCAAATGCTTTGCTGCTTGGGAACCGGAAAAGCCTCGACCCAAGCCCAGGTCTAGACCCCGCTTTGTGCTAAAACGGAAAAAAATATCACAAATTTTGCGCGATCCTGATAAACGGCCTCCCAAATTCACCCAAGATTTGGTTCTGCTACCGCTAGGATCTTCAATCCTTCTGGTGCCTCTCTAATGCCCAATTTAATTGGGTATCTAAATACCTTGATTAACCCATTTTACATGGAGATTCCCAATTAAAATAGGATTAGAAAGCCCAAAAATGGATTAAATATCCTAACGCCATCTACGAAACAATAGCGGAACCAAATACTCTAAGGAACCCGGTTTTTTTATCACAACTTAACTGTAATTTACTGCAAACATGAAGTTTAACTTCAAACAGCGTCTTTCAATATAATAGCTGACCGGAGGTCAAATAGAAATATGTAGTTACACTTCAATGCCTAATCTAATTTGTTTGATAGTGACGGAAAGCGATTGCTCAGGCGTAGATGCGGATTGTCGCATGAACCATTACAAGTTAGTCAACCATAACTTAAAAAAGTTATAGTTAACTTTCAAGTAATAGTTACCTTACTTGAAAGTTAAATTGCGATAAACTGGGCATTACTCCTTACAAAGTCGATTTCTGAATTTGGTTACAAAAAGAGTTACTTATTTTGAATGTGACACTGAGTTGTTTTTGTGTGTGTTTTATTTGTGGTGAATGTTATATAAATCAGATTCGCAAAACAAAACACACACATTACAGGGACAGTTCAAAAACACTGACATTCAAAAGTATGATTACGGAGGTCGTCGCGTGTTGCGTCATGGGTTGTGACAGTGCGATTTAATTTGAGCAGAATTCATTTTAACCAGCGTGGAATACCTATATTGTATGAAATAGAACGGGTCTGCCGGCGAGGTATCCTATTGAATTAGGGCAAATTCAGCTTAGAGATTCTTCAAGTTACTCCAACAGCTGTTTGGATAATTTCTTAGTGTATTTTGATAAGGATTTTAATGTACCTATCGGTTGTGGATCACTGTTTGTCTAGCCATTACTGTATAATCCTCAATATCCGGGTATCTAAAGTGCAGTGCAACGAAGCGAATAAGTATTCAAATATTCGAGACTTTTCTCAACAGAATATACAAAACTTCAGACTAAAATTGAGTCAAGAAAGCTGGTTGGAAATGTACCAACAGTTTTCTACCGAAAGCGCTTGTGATACATTCTTTAACATTCTCTTGTATCATTTCAATAGAAGAATACGCCTTGAAAGATGGAAGAAAGTGGTTCTGCTAGTCGAGTTAGTAGAACTGAGAGACAGGGTTACGTTATGTCATTCTTTGGCAAAGACTGATGGCAGGTACAAACAACTTAGTAAACAAGTTACAAAAACTTATAGAGAATGACTTAGTAAATATAGGCAACGATGTATAGATTCTAAAATCGATTCCTCAAAAAATCGTAGTAAATTCATGTGGCAGATTATTAATAACATACAAAAAAAGATCTTAAGAAAACTATAAATACAGGGTGTCCGCAAAGTTGGGGTTTTCCTTTTCAGAAACAACTACCCTTGAAATAATAAAGATAATGTGTAGTGAAACGAGGGCGACCAAGTAAAAAAAAAATAAAGGAAAAAGTACTCATTCTCCAGTTGATGAGAAGGGCTAAGTACGTCTCTGCCTGAAATCGAAAGTTATTCACCCCATTATGCGTGAACGTAGATTCGTCTGTCACCAATATGCACTTCAAAAAGTCCGGATTATTGTCATGTTGATGCAACAACCACTCACAAAACCGCATTCTTGCTGGAAAATCGTCAGGTTGAAGGGCTTGTACACGTTGGACGTTTTCCACACTTTAGTTTTTGATACTTGCACTTCTCTAGCCACGTCTCTAGTGATTGTTGAGGGATTCTCGTCTACGCGATTCAGTAGTTCTTCCTCAACTTGCACCATTCGTGGTTGTCTAGGCCTCCCACTGTGCCCACCTCGAAATTCCTCCAAATGGCCCGTATCCCTGACTCTCTGCGGGGCCTTGGATGATGTCGTCTAGGGAAACGATCTGCATACACTCGCGACAATTCTGTAGCATTTTGAAGACATTCGTCATAAATTAACAACATATCAACGATTTCATTATTGGTGTATGAGTGTGCCATTATTATTTTTTTTTGAAACGCAATCGATTATACGGGTTCGTTACCTCTATACGCGTGAGCCTTTACCGTCGGTTGAAGGTTGCATACTGACCTGACACACTCACCCCGACCCCCGACCCAGTTCTGTCGTCGGGTTCAGCTAGTAGCCGGTACCAGTCTGAGATATCGCGGCGGTCGCGGCTACAGGACGGTATTCAGATATTTTTGATGTTGCAGAGCCCTTTATTTCGGTTCCCTTAAGACATTGGTGTA